GACAATGCGTTAGCATTATAAGATCCCGCACTCACACCACTTCATTTCCCACTTGTGTCGATATACGATATACACTTTGTAACATCACTTGTTTTCACATGTAGTATATTACCGCCGAAGAAATGTTCAAAGCTAGTAATTTTGAACTTCGTAAGGTAATCGAAACGTCAATCAGCAATGTCATTACTTCACGAAACGTTTTGAGCTTTAATGTTTCTCCTTGACGCGTGAGAATATTCCACCATTTGTTACCGGTATGACCGCTTGCCGTCAACTGGAAGTTGGCTGCAGCCGGATACGCTAGGTATTTTTGTAGCGGGAAAATGTTGCATCTTTGAAATAGCTATAAAGTCTCGATGTAGAATATTAAACGGCGTCTCTTATATTTAATAGCATCAGTGAAGCAATTATAAATATATTTGTGTTGCGATAAATTCCAAATTTCTATAATTAATTCATGAACAGGAATTATTAATTATTCCATTATACTAATGCAAAGACAAACTATTAGTATTTTCGGCAATGGTTCTAACACTCTATGCAATAATCATCAACAATGAATTAAATAACAAGAAATTCATATCCAGAATTATATTAGAAATCTCGCTAAAGCTGTGCCTGTACGATGAAATTATAAAAGTTGATGAATTTATTATAGACGTACATGAAGTCACAGATGAAGGCAAGTGATTCTGTTCTTGGTAAAAAATAAAATGAAACTATGATGGTTATATGCTTAGGTACTTTTTATTCACTCTGAAAGTTTCACATATACACGTTAATTGCTAACGACATAATAAACAATGACATTAGAATCTGAGTAGATGTCCATATCACGGACCGTTGCGAGAAAAAGATGTGTCGTAATAATTATCATTATAATGACCATATATATATGCATAGGTAACAATATTTATAGATACATACAGACTACTGCAAATTATTCTATTCAAATACATGAGTTATCCTAATAATTCTTGATATTGGTTTATCTTGCATCTCCTCGGCTTTCTTTTATGCTAAAGCTCATAAGTTCTATATTCCCTACTCATTTTCCTTTACATCCTTATCACATTCAACATCATCTATTTTATAACTTTCTACTTTCTTCGGTTCCTTTTTTGTACCTCTTAATTTATTTCTTATCCTTTCCTACATTGCTCTCAAAAATATAAATATAAGATAGTCAATAAAAATTCCTACTTTCTATAACATAGTTACAATTTA